ACAACTTTAGTACCCACATTCAAACTTTTCTTTTTCTTTAAATTCTTTACTAGTTTCTCTCTTATTTCCAGCTAGCAACTTAGAAAGGTTAGTCTGCCTAGGCTTTAGATACCTTATAGTTACTCTTCTTTTGGTATATGCTTTTAAAACACATGTTTTTTTCTTCTAGTTGGTAATTTGGTGGTTTGGCTAGTGTGTCTTTCTATTTAAAAACCTGGTCACTTAGTTCTTTGATTTTGGTTTCTAGTTCTAAATTTGGTCTTTCTGTAGTATCGTCAAAGATTATGTTACTTTCTAGCTCAAGATTTGCCAAACAGTTTTTCAGTTATTCCAGTTTCTTGAATTTATTGTACCAAAGCTCCTATTCAAGATGGTGTTACCAAGATTACAGATTAAAATCTAACCAATTAGTAATAGCTATTAACTATATCACAGAGCTAATTTTTAAAAATGTTATTTGTGAGATTCAAACTCTAAATCTGCTATCTAGAGATGCAACAACTTCACTATTTTACTAAGTTGCTATACTCTTATATCTTTTTTTTTTTTATTATAAAAGCTTTATAATAATATTACAATTTTTATTAGCTATAGAAAAGCCAAGAGCCAAAGATCTTTTTGTATATTTAGCTTAATAGCTAATAAATAAGTAAACTTGGCTTAAGACTTTATAAAATGAAAGAATCACAATCTAAAGATATACTAATATACTAACTATTACTAATTAGTTTAAATTATATATAGTTATTTTTTTAATTTTATATTACATCTAATCTTACAATATGATTAGTTGATCAGATAGATATATTATAACACAAGTATGCTAAATTATAATAGTTTATATAAAATATTTAAAATAATAAATAAATATTTAAAATAATAAATAAATATTTACAATTAAAAAAATTTTTGTGAATTACTTCTTTAGTAGCCACTATAATATCTAAAATAAGTTATAAAAAATATATACTATATTATAATAATTTCTATTTTGCCTAATAAAATATAAGTATCTTTGTACTTTTTATTAATTTGCACGCAACTAGCTTTTATACTTCTAGCTTTTTAAATTTATTTAGTTGGGTTCAAAAGCTATTTATATAAAAATATAATTTTTCTCTATTTTGTACTAGATTTATTTTAAGATTTTCTTTAGTTAGATTTTTGACTTTCTTGCCAAATTTCTAATTTTTAATAAACTTTATATCTGCATTTTTAACTAGTTTAATTTTTGTAAATTTGCTTTTAACTACCTTCTTAGTGTTAGCTATTTTATTAAACTATTTAATTGAAATTGCTATATACTATTTATTATTTTTTTTAATAATATTAGTTATTTGTTTTATAATTCAAAACCAGGATACTTTTTTTGTATAGAGGTTTTTTTTTTCTTGTAATATTAAGTAGATAGCCTTTATATTAAGCTAAAAGTATCTTTATACTTCTTTTTCTTTAGTTACATACTGTATGGCCTTTCTATTATTAAAATAGCTTGTTTTTTATTTTGAATTAAACCCCAGTTTTTGTACTTTTTATCTTTCTTGGGTCTGCCCAATAGAGGCTACAGATACATTATATTATTTTGCTTAAGTCAAAACTTTGCCTTGATTGCTCTGCTTCTCTGTATTGCTAAAAAATTTTTTTTTTACTTCAATAAACTATTTTGTTTTTTTTTTTTTAAACTTTTGCTTTTAATATTAAGGTGATTAATTCATTAACCGAAAGTTAAATCCTGAAAAAGAAAAATTCCCAAATATAATATTAATATTTTTTGTCGGGATTATTATATTCGGGATTATAGCTATTCGGGATTTTTTTCTTTTCAGGATTTTCAGGATTTTAAGTATTGGGATCTAGTACTATTGGGGTCTTTGCCTTGAAAATCGAGTTACGGAATATAGTAAATGGCCCCAATTATTCAGATAAAGTTTTAATTTTATATCGAAATTATCTGACTATCCGTCATTTAATTTATGATCGTATTTACAAGTCATTTAGTTTTAATTCGGCTTTTGATTTTTATGTTGTAACACAAGTAAAACCCATGATTATAGTGGTTGCATGATAAAGAAAATAATTTCTTACCGTCCGGTTTATCCGAATATCTGTCGGAGTTAGTCAAAGACGGATAGACAGATACGACTACGAAAACAATTTTGATCAAAGATTTTCAGGCAAATCCGTTAAAAAAGAATAAAAACCAAATAATTTAGTATCATTGATTTGGCAAAGAACTACTTAATGGCCTTTTACACGTTTGATCTAGATACGAAAACTAATTCTGATCAGAAAAATATCACTAGAAAAAGGTCAACCGGCCCGAATTTTTTTTTAGGATCGACCCCGGCCTATGATCTGTTTTTCCTTTTTTTTTTCGGGGGTTTTTTTTTTTTTTTTTTTTTTTTTACGTAATATCAGAAATTTCTTATTAAGTTGGTTTTTAACCAAAAGGCGGTTTCATTTACTAATTATAAATGTAGCTATCGGTTTGTCCAAAACGGTCTCTCCGAAATTGATTTTTGGCATGATTCTCTAATTAAAGAAATTTTGGAATAAAATAAAATTTGTAGAATGATTAATTTACTCCAAAAATGATTATTCCCCCTTAAAGTTCTTGTTAGAATAACGAATAAAATTTGTTACGATTGTCTTAAATCACACTTTTTCTTTTAATGGACCTGCAGCGAAACGTATCATTTATCGTTACGTAATTCGCCTAATTTATAGTCGGACAACATGTGAAATGGACCACATTACTGGATGGTATTATGATATAAAATCTTTGAAATTCGGGACATTGTAAATATTACACTTTTCATTTTTTTTTTTTTATTGGATACTTAATGAAATGGTAAGCTTTTATCCAAAAGTCGAGTATGTAGATATTCATTCATTAAAAAGTATTATTTTACAAAGTGATTATTATATAGTCTACAAACAAGTCTACAAACAATCACACGTATTCACCTCCTTCGAACGTAGTATGTCTTCCGCGAACAAACCAACTCGAAGCTTTATTGACAATAATCCGAGATAAAGATACTAATCGTGGAGACTTTATTTTTTATTCTGATAGAATAATTAGACTCCTTGTCGAAGAAGGTTTAGAGATAATTATTTATTTTTTTAAACTTTATTTTATTATTTCTAACACGATATGTTTTTTTGGCATATAGGGCTAAACCATTTACCCGTTGTTGAAAAGAAAGTCATTACACCAACAGGTATATATATTATATAGTAATTTCTTGTCAAAATATTACAATTAACTTAATTAACTTGTGGATCTAAAATTTGATATAATTTTGATGATCAAATTAGGAAGTGAATTTAATGGCGTTTCCTTCAAGGGTAAAATATGTGGCGTGTCTATTATGAGGGCAGGGGAAGCAATGGAGCAAGGGTTGC